AGTGATAATATTGTTGTTATTGTTGTTAGGAGTGCTACTATTATTCCTAAGATTTCTGCTAATAATGGTAGGTTAATACTATTTGTTTTAAATAATTTATAATTTAAGTAATTAATATTTCCAGTACTATTTTTTAAATTACAATTTCTATTATTTGTTAGAATTCTTGATATATGATCTATAATAGACCATTCTGGATGTAATAAATGATGAAAATAAATACTTTTATTTTTATTATTTTTATAAATTTTAGTTTTTATATAATAATAATTAGTAAATTTATAGGCACCCCAAGTATAATTTTGAATTAAATTATAATATTTTAAATCAGTAAAAAATGTAATATCTAAGTTTGAAGCTTTAACTTCAAGATAGAGTTTGAAGTTAATTTTAATAAGATAATATTTATTAAGTTTAAGATTGGGCTTATTATAATTCTTGTACTTTTCCTAATTGGTAATAACTTCAAAGGTTTTAAATTTGGTTTGCCAATTTGAAGCCATTTTAATTTATTTTTTAAAATTATTTGTTAAGTTTTGGTTCTTTATATATATTTTATTACTGCGCCACTTAATATATTCTTGTTATATTGGTATTAATATTGTTAATGCACTCTGGTTAAATATTACCAGAGTACATTAATATAAACAATCACAATATTGCCTGTAGAGTGTCTAAACTTCTACGATTTTAGAAATTCATTGTTTCAACAATGGTAAATTTCTGAAATCACGTAAGATAAAAAATCAATAATAATACAGTGCAATATAAATTGCGAGAAGTTATATAATGCCTTTTGCCTTCTCTTTCTTATTTATAGATTCACTTGTAATTAGATAAATATTTATCTTAAATTATATCTACAATATCCTATTTAATTACTGATTCCTTTGCTGAATCTTTTTCTGAAAATATTCAAAATTTCTTCAGGCAGCTATAAGTTCTGATAATATTACAAATTATATCGAACTTGAATATTCTGAAGGCTCTACTAAATCAAATCCTAAAAAACATAAATATTCTGCTAAAAGCAATCGCTCAAAGAAACAATGCTTAAGATTTAAAAAAAAACTTAACCTAGTTTGTGTATATATTGATGAACTAAGTGACGAGCTTAGTGACAAAGCTTTTAAAGTTTGCAAAATATGCAATAATAAGTGGGCTAAAAGAACATCAATTTCAACTATAAAAAGTTACTTTAAA